GGTGTTGGTGAGCCATATACCAGTACAGTTCTTTTTAGTAATGATGAATTTTTCCTAAATAGAATTGAGGCTCATGTAATGAAAAATCAAATTACAGAAGCGAATGAAGAACTAGAATACTTTTTAGCAACAAGAACCGCAGGGTATAATCCGGCTACAGATCAGTTGACAGAAGAGAAAGTTGTAGCCAAATTTCCTGTAATAGCAAATGAGTTTACGCCGTTTTATACTTTAACTCCGGTGCAGGCATCATACATAAAAGCTATTGCAGAAGCAAGAAGAAGAGATTTTTTACATGAAGGTGTTAGATGGTTTGACATCAAACGTTTTAATCTTGTTATAGAACACGATACTTATGAATTTGGAAAAGTATCAAGACATAATGTTTTAGTAAAAGATGACAAACGTAGAGCATTACAAATACCAGTTAGAGCATCTGATAATGGAATCGAACTAAATCCTAGATAAAAATTTAATTTAATTATTATGAAAATATTAAAAAGATATAAAGCGATTGCAATGATTACAGGAGCAATGCTATTTGTTGCTTGCGCTCATGAAGATCAGCCTATAGAAAGTCAGTTAGATTTTTCGCAACCTAATAAAACGGAATTAGATAAATGGATAGGTACCAGTTTTTTAGATCCTTATAATATAAAAGTATATTATGAATGGAATCAAAATTTAGTAGATAATACTCGTTATCTATTTCCACCAACTCTAGAAAAAGTGAAACCAGCTCTTGAGATTGTTAAAAAAATCTGGATTGATAGTTACACCACTATAGGAGGGGAAAATTTTGTAAAGAAAATAGCACCAAGAGAATTTGTTTTAGTAGGAGGAATGAACCTGAACACAACAGGTACAAGAACATTAGGACTTGCAGAAGGAGGTCAAAGAGTTTCGCTTTTTCAGATAGATTATTTAAATAAGAATAGCAGACCGGATGTTACAGAATTTATCCATACTATTCAACATGAATATGTACATATTCTAAACCAAACTAAGCCATTTGATGAGCAAGCGTGGTCTAAATTAACCCCTTCGGGATATACTACCAGCTGGTATGTTGAGGAAATTGAAGACTCAAGAGAGTTAGGTTTTATTACGAGTTATGCAAGATTAAATATTTATGAAGATTTTGCTGAAACAGCTTCTACAATTTTAACGAGTTCTGAAGCAGAGTATGATGCAATTTTAGCAAGTATTACAGATCCTGAGGCCAGAGCCAACATTCAAAAGAAAGAAGCCATTGTTGTACAATATTATAAAGATGCTTTTGATATTGATTTTTATGCTTTAAGAGATGAGGCACAAAAAAACACAGACGCTGTTCTCGGAAACTAAACATATTAATAATAATGAGTAGTAATTAATATAAAAATCAATATTATGAAATTAAAATATATATATAAGTATTTGATAGTTGCTTTTGCGGCGGTGCTGCAAGTTGCATGTACAAGTACAGAAGCAGATTCAAAATTTGATCAGACTCCTATAGAGCGATTAAATATTAGAGAAAAAGAATTAAATGACTTATTACTTTCGTCACCAGAAGGATGGAAAGTAGTTTATTATACTGATAGTACACAATTAGGAGGATGGACACATCTTTTTAAATTTCTTCCTGATGGTAAAGTTGATATGGCATCTGATTTTGACGGAGATACATCTACTTACAGAAGTCAATACGATATTCAATTAGGAAGCTCAGTGGGTTTAGTTTTTACAACAGCCAACAGGATACATCTTTTATCTCAGTCAGATAATTATCCTACTGCAGCCCTTAGAGGAAAAGGATATTTGGGAGATTTTCAGTTTTTTTATTACGGACAGGAAAATGGAGATATTATTTTTAAAACAAACAGAAATGTTCAGGAGTTGAGATTTGTAAAAGCTAAAGCACAAGACTGGACAGATTTACCTAAAAATACTCCAATAATTGAAGGTATTACCGGAGGACCTACAAGCCCATTGTTTAGATTGTTAGAAATTAATGATGGTAGTGCATTACATCTTTATGATTTTGATTTCAATGCAAACGCACGTTTTGGTACGGCAACATCTTTAGATCCTGCATCAAATCAAATTTATAACCTTGCACTTTCATTTACGCCAACAAGTGCAATTGCCAAACCTGCTCTAGTAGTAAAAGGACAAAAAATATCTAATTTTGTTTACGATAGTGCTACTGATAATTTTGTAGCTACAGGGACTGGAGGAGTAAGCGCTACTATTAAATATACCAATGTGCCACCTACGTTAACTGATGATTATAAAATATTATTGCCAGGTAAAATATATGCTAGATTTGGTTATTATGTTGGCGATTATGTAGAAGACGCACCAACAAACTCACAACTATTTGTAAATGAATTAGCTGCAATTGATGCTGCTTTGCCAGAAGGCGTTGCGTTGGCATCTGTTCAGGTTTATTTAAATCATTCACTTGGAAATTTCATCTATTACACATTTGCAGGAAGAGCAGCCGTTTTTCATTATATAGATGTTGAAGAGGATGCAACAGGCAAAAAAATTATTTTAAAGCATAAATCATGGAACGGAAACCCAGCAGCGGCAGCTCCGGCATTTTTAGCAAACTTTGACAAACACTTGGTAAACGCTAGTGGTGTTTATGTTAAAAAGGAAAACTTTAAATTAGGTTATACAAATACCGTTTACACCTTTACCAGCGCTTCAAGTTCATTTAGAATGACCGCTTGGCAACTTAATTAAGATGTAGTTTTTTATAGGAGGCAGTTCAACTTGAACTGCC